TAGTGACATGTTAGTTCGAGATGTGAAATATTTGCATTTATGTCTTTTTCATGACTTGTTTACACGTGTCGTACAACTTGATTTCTATCTATCAAACGAAATGGACCACAAATCCAATAATCAATCAACCAGTAAATTACCCTGTAATTAATAATACTTCACAGATACATCTTTAGTGAAGTCATAAGTGCAAGTGCAAAACAAGATTCAGATGTGAGGTTTTTTGTAGTCTTCTGGAACTTTCTGAAGCTAGAGAGAGAAGATATTAATGAATGTGACAATAATACGGTGTCGTTTCCCTATCTTTCTCGTGCACTTGCTTATATAACCTCCTCCTCTTTATCATTCAGATAATCTCAGAATTGTTTTTAAGAAAATAGATATTGATAATTTTTAAATAGTTCTACTCTTTTTCAAAAATGTTCAATAATTTTGATTGTTGGCCCCGGATCATCGGCTCATCGCCCCTCCCGATCGGTCTATGAAACATACAAATGTCTTATTTATCTTTCTCTCTAATGCAGAGTAGGAAATGACTTTGATTATTACTGATTAGACCATTAACAATTATAATATGTAAAACTTGGATGCAGACAAGATGGAAAAACTGAACCATTCTGTGTCCACATCAGAAATACATAGAGAGGGTCCACATATTAGTCTGAATTGGAGTAGAAGACCTAATTTGAAACATGGTTTATTTTAGTTGATTCATACTGATTTTGGTTGCTTGCTCCTACACTTGTCTACCAACCGGACCCATGCAAGTTGGCAATAGGTACTTCGAAATAGAAGACATATTTTGACGTGAGAGGAAAATCTATCGCACACTATAAAAGAAAGAAAAAAAATCAATATTTTAAGAATATGTTAGGTGCTAAATAAAACTTGGAGGAGTGTTTAAAATAAAATCTGACTCATCAATGCGTGGGCATATATCTTTCTGCCGTTTTATTGCCAATTAATCAACTGGTTTATATCACCGTCAAGCTTCAAGACAACCACCAATAAATTGATTAGACACTTTGAAAAGTAGGCACAAAATTCTGTCACTAATTCTCAATTTGTTACCAATCCCGAGTTGATACATACATGAGGGTGTTTGGAGCTTCCAAATTGAGCATCAGATGTTAGTATTTTATATTATTCTTGTGAAAGATCGGATAAAATAAATACGATGTTTTGTTTCATTATGGATTACCCAATAACCAAAAAAATAAAATAATCAAACAAGTAACTAAAAACTCTAAATCTAGTGGTTGTGATTGTGCTACATAAGAGA